AGTTTGTTTCTCAGAGTCCACAGTCACTCGTGATTCATCTCCCCCTCCGAGTCCCCCCCTTTCGTTTTTCCCTTCCTACTATCTTCTTTTTTTTTTTTTGAACATACAATGTATTACTTGTTTCAGGGGTACAGGGGTACAGGGTACAGTGATTCATCAGTCTTGCACAATTCACAGTGCTCAGCATAGCACATACCCTCCCCGGTGTCTATCACTCTGCCACCCCATCCCTCCCACCCCCCACCACTCCAACAACCCTCAGTTTGTTTCCTGAGATTAAGAATTCCTCATATCAGTGAGATCATATGACGTATATCTTTGTCTGACTGACTTATTTCGCTTAGCATAATACCCTCTAGTTCCATCCACGTCGTTATAAATGGCAAGATTTCATTCCTTTTGATGGCTGCATAATATTCCACTGTAGGTATATATGTGTGTGTGTGTGTGTGTGTGTTTATACACCACATCTTCTTTATCCATTCATCTATCAGTGGACATCTGGGCTCTTTCCATAGTTTGGCTCTTGTGGACATTGCTCCTATAAACATCAGGGTGCATGTACCCCTTCAGATCCCTACATTTGTATCTTTGGGGTAAATAGTAGTGCAATTCCTGGGTCGTATGGTTGGAGCTCCCCATTTTCAAATCCCTGCTCCCTAGACCCTACCTTTTCAGATACCAGCTCCCTTAATCCAGGACCCAAACTCTCTCTTCATTCCATGTATGAAGAACAGTACCTGTTCCAGCTCCACCTTCCATGCTGCAGTTTGGAAATTGTGTGCAGCCAAAATGGGCTGAACGGAAAACTCAGCCCTAAGTGTTTGCTTTTCCCCTGGCTCTCTGCCCTGTGCTATCTGTTGCCCAATGCCCAGTTTCATAATCTACGGCAGGAAAACAAGTACACTGCCAACTGTTCCTCCTATTATTTTTAAGTTTATGTATTTAATTAATCTCTACACCCAGCATGGGAGTCACACAGTCTTCAGACTGAGCCAACCAGGCACCCCTGTTCCTTCTATTTTTAAACAAACATTTCATCGTATTTTTCTTGAATACTTGATTCGATGACACAGTTCACTGCATCACCTTTCCCATTCTGTAACAATTTTCTGTTATTCCATGTTTTTAAAAAGATTACTGTGATTGTTAAAACCAAATATATGAAACAATGATATTATACTCTATATTTCTCAAGTACCTAAGAATAATGTGTCACATTTGGGGTCACTGCTAAATATTTCTACATGGCAATAATACATCTATTTTGGGCTTTTTTGTTTAACATAGTTCCATAGAATTATTTCTGTGTATTGATGATAATTTCATGTATTGAGCTTTAGATTCTAAGTAGTTCTGTAAGGATCATTGTATGTTGTCATACTGCTTCCCCCAGAGAATAAACTAGTTAATGCCTTTATTCTTCCCACCTACCTAATTGCTAGAGTATCCACATGTTATAGCTTAAGAATTATTTTTTTCCATTGTTATTTATGAAATAAAAGTTCTAAAATAATTTGAATCTATTTTTTGAACATTACACATTTCCCCCAATACCTGGAAGTAAAGCATTTCTGTGAAACCTTTCATAATCTAAAATAGCATAAAGCCAAGAAGTACCATTTACCATTAATTTATATGGAAATTTTTTTAACATCCCAGATGACAGAAGTAACCTCTCAGGATTTTCTGGTACTTTGGTACACAACTTGCTAGCGGATGCAGAAAATAAATCGAGATAAAGCACAGATGCTCACAGTTCAGAAATAGGACAGCTGGATGCTGACTGAGACACCAGGGAAGGAGTCTAGCAGTGCCTTTGCAAAACACACACTGAATGTTGTTTCTCTCTTTTGCCTTTTTTCATAAAAACGTAAATCTTCGGGGCACCTGGGTGGCTCAGTTGTTAAGCGTCTGCCTTCGGCTCAGGTCATGATCCTGGGGTCCTGGGATTGAGCCCCGCATCGGGCTCCCTGCTCTGCGGGGAGCCCGCCTCTCCCTCTCCCACTCCCCCTGCTGTGTTCCCACTCTCGCTGTGTCTCTCTCTGTCAAATAAATAACTAAAATCTTAAACAAAAAAAAAAGTAAATCTTCGGATTTCTTTTGGTTAGTGAAAACAGGTGCTGCTAGTGTGGGTATTTGGTATAAAGCAAAGTGGCCTAACAAACTTTCAAAAAGCATGGGGATACTTGTATTCAGTTTATTTTTTTAAATAACTACATTGTTGGGGCACCTGGGTGGCTCAGTCGGTTAGGCCTCCGACTCTTGATTTTGGCTCGGGTCATGATCTCGAGGTCGTGGGGACAGGCTCTGCGCTCAGCGTGGAGTCTGCTTGTCCCTCTCCTGCTCTTCCTCCCGCTGTGTGCTCTCTCTCTCTCTCAAATAAATAAAAAACAACACTGTTCCTTGTTATATAGAGCAATCTTATAGAAAGATCCATTTAAATGAAAAAAAGTAAGATGCAGAAGTGTAGTCTCCCTGCCTTTTATGTAAATATACATTTAGGAACATGTCTGTGTGTGCATTGAGGGTCACTTCAGGGTGATACTCAAGTTATCTCTGAAGAGGGACTAGAAGGTAGGCATGTGAGAGAGACCTCACAGCGTACCCTTTGATGTCTTGTGCTTGTATGTGTGCTGTGTACATTTACTGACAGTAAAAATAAGTATGTCATTGAAATAAATCTGGTAAGATGTTTCTGTTATTACTCCTTTCAACTTTTTAAATTTTTCATTTTTATAGGTAATTCATACAGTATTCTCTAATAGGTAAGTGCTTTTTCCTCAACATTTTTTGGAGAATACTCCATACCAGTATCTAAAACTGCCTTGTTTTTAAAGTTGCATGGTATTGGGCGCCTGGGTGGCTCAGTTGGTTAAGCGACTGCCTTCGGCTCAGGTCATGATCCTGGAGTCCCGGGATCGAGTCCCGCATCGGGCTCCCTGCTCAGCGGGGAGTCTGCTTCTCCCTCTGACCCTCTTCCCTCTCGTGCTCTCTATCTCTCATTCTCTCTCTCAAATAAATAAATAAAATCTTTAAAAAAAATAAAAAAAAAAATAAAGTTGCATGGTATTTTCATGTAGAGATGTGGCCCATACTTATTTGAGCTCTTATGGATGGAATTTTAGGCAGTTCCCAATGGTTTGCTATTTAATGCTACAGTTAGTATTCTTTTACAGAATTCTTTTTGTAGATTTGTGAATACATTTTTAGAATTACCTTAATAGAATCTAGAATTTTAATAGTTTTTTGCCATGTTGCTCTCAGTAGAGACTATCTTTAATATTCTCACCAACGTTGAGAGTTCCTGTTTCCCCCATTCTTTTCAATAATCTTAATGACTGAGCCACCCAGGCGCCCCCCTTTAAAGATTTTTATTTATTTGACAGAGATACGAGAGCAGGAACACAAGCAGGGGGAGTGGGAGAGGGCATTCTTTTCAATAATCCTTTGGATTCTTGTCAATCTAACAGTTGGAAATGGTTATGTCACTATAATTTTTTTATTTTATTGTAAAGTTCAGCATCCTTTCATGTGTTTAAAAGCTATATTTCTTTGCTGAAAACTTTATATCACCTTTGCCTACTTTTTAACTGGGATATAGATTTCTCCTTTTTGATTTGCAGGAATTCTTTATATGTTATGGAAACCATCCCTCCGTGATAGGAGTTGCAAATACTTGTTTTCTAGTTTATCATTTATTTGACCTTGCTTTTGGTGTTAGTGATTATTGCCTTTTTAACAGATATGTTTACCTTCCTATATCTGTGTGATAATTTTCCTTTTATCAGTTTAGATATTTGTTTATTTTTAATTCTTGTTTTTCAAATTTTATCGATAGTCAATTCTCATTATTCACAGATTATGTATTTGCAGATTTGCCTGCTCACTGAAATTTATCTGTATTGCCCAAGTCAATAATTACAGCACTTTTGCCATATCATTCATAGACAAGTGCAGAGTGGCAAAAAATTTGAGTCATCCGACATAGACATTCACACTTGAGCTTGAGCAATGTTCTGTCTTCATCTTTCTTTTTTAAAAGATTATATTTATTTATTTAGAGAGCACAAGGGGAGGGAAAGAGAGAATCTCAAGCAGACTCCCTGCAGAGTACAGAGATCTCACGACCCTGAGATCATGACTTGAGCCAAAGTCGAGAGTTGGTTGCCTGACTGAGCCACCCAGGTGCCCCATCTTCATCTTTCATCTCATACTATGAACAAGCATTCTTTGCACAGTCTTTTTAGTGCTACATTTTTCACATTTCTGTGCCTTTTCGCTCTTTAAAGTGGCCCCCAAACATTGTGCTTTGTGTTCCCAAGTGCAAGAAACTGTGAGGTGCCTTACGGAGAAAATGTGTTGGTTAAGCTTCATTCAGGCATGAGTTACAGTGCTTTTGGCCATGATTTAGTGTTAGAATCATCAGTATAAAGTAACTTGTCTTTCAACAGAACCACACATTTTAAAAGGTATTTATCTGTTGATAAAAATGTGACTAAAGGCTTGCCTGAGCATAGCTCTCTATTTCTTCTAGGAGCAGGGGCTCAGTTTTCACAGATTCATTGTCCTGTTGTTGTTTTTTAAGATTTTACTTACTCATTTGAGAGAGCGAGCGAGTGCGAGATAGCAAGCATGGCGGGGGGAGGGGCTAAAGGAGAGAGGGAGAAGCAGACTTCCCACTGAGCAGGGAGCCCCACATGGGCTTGATCTCAGGGTGGCAAGTGTCCACGCTGAGCGTGGAGACAACCAAAAAAACGTAATAGTGACTTTTTTAAGATTTTATAACTTGAAAGAGAGCGAGCGAGAGAGTGAGCGAGAGCACAAGCAGGGGAGGGACAGACGGAGAGGGAGAAGCAGGCTCCTCCCTGAGCAGGGAGCCCAACACAGGGCTCCATCCCAGGACCCTGGGATCATGACCTGAGCCAAAGGCACACTTAAACCAACTGAACCACTCAGGCGCCCCATATAGTGACTTTTTAGAACATAACTACCATGAATAATGAGAATTGAGTGTATTTATTTTGAAGTCATTCTACAAGCAGTTTACACAAGAATAGAGATAGTGAAAATAACTTTGTTAGTAACTTCAGTGAGAATTCAAATACAGCAAACCCAAGTTTTTATTCCGTATTTTCCCAGTATTTAATGTGTGTGTGTGTGTGTGTGTGTGTGTGTGTGTGTGTATCTAAAGTGGGTAACATTCTTTGGAGTCAACTTACTGTTCATTAGTTGTTATGCATGAGGCTGTATTTATCTTATACTGATTCTAGATTTCAAATACATTTTTTACTGTGCTCTTTCTTATTATTTTGATGATTCTTCCTGGATTTCATTAAAACAATACTTTTGAGATTTCATGGCTCATAATTTTGTTAAATGGACAGATTACAGGTCCCTTCTTTGTTGTGTAACAGCAAAATATTTCATTTTTACATTTATTAGCACCAGTAGAAATGAGCAGTCCAGTTACTGTTTTTCATTTCTGTATCATATGTTAGCTTCCATTTACTTCTGTATACACATCTTTCTTCTACATTTGTCCACTCGCAGCTTTATCAAGTGAATTTTGGTGCACAAGCCTCATAAAAGGTGAACACTGGCTGGGGAGAGGGGAAAATGAATACTGTTACATGTTTGTTTTTTAGCAAAGTGGGATAGTTCACGTTTTTACCACAAAATATTATGGTGAAATCCTCCCTGTTTAAGGACTGAATGACATTACTGTATTTCCTTTTTTGTCCTCAGAAATATATCAGTTCTTGAGTTGGAAAAAATGCACCTAAGTAGCATATGCCATTTTGAAGACTCATCATCTGAGACTTTGCTTATAGGAACTAGGTCACCACCACTGTTAGTCTACAGTAGGGATCACAAATTTTTCTTAAGGGCAGCTGACTCAGTCGGAAGAGCATGTGACTCTTGATCTTGGGGTTGTGAGTTCGAGCTCCACATTGGGTTGTAGAGATTACTTTTCAAAAATAAGAAAATGAGGGGCACCTGGGTGGCTCAGTTGTTAAGCGTCTGCCTTCGGCTCGGGTCATGATCCCAGGGTCCTGGGATCGAGCCCCACATCGGGCTCCCTGCTCCGCGGGAAGCCTGCTTCTCCCTCTTCCACTCCCCCTGCTTGTGTTCCCGCTCTCTCTCTCTGTCAAATAAATAAAATCTTAAAAAAAAAAAATGAAAAGACTAAGAAATAATATTTTAAAAATTTTTTTCTGGGGCACCTGGGTGGCTCAGTTGGTTGGGCAACTGCCTTCGGCTCGGGTCATGATCCCAGTGTGCTGGGATCAGTCCCCACATTGGGCTCCCTGCTCTGTCCTCTCCCTATGCCTGCCGTTCCCCCTGCTTGTGCACTGTCAAATAAATAAAAATCTTTAAAAAAATTTAAAAAATTAAAAATAAAAATTTTTTTTTCTTAAAAGACTAGATAGTAAATACATTAGTCCATAGTTGTCCAACTGCTGGTCTAGATGTTGCTGTCTCTGCATTCATCTTCTAACTGGTTTAATAATTATGAAAATATTTCGTTTGCCAATTTTGTTCTCTGTGCTATTACAGAGAATGAAAAAGTCTGAACTGTCAACTGTTTTCAAGGAAGGCTTAAAAAAAAAAAAAAAAACTTCAGGGATAAAGGGCGGTGTCTCCAGACTTCCCTTAAAACATCTTGAAAATCCAGTACTTTGGGCAACAGAATAAGAGAACTGAAGGATGATGTAATAGTGATCATCTCATTGTTGATGATTTATTTCATCATCGTTTTAGGTGATTCTGTCCTTCCATGTTGTTATTATTTCAGTCTTCTTTTTTTTAAGCATAGCTGCAGATAATCAGTGAGTGTATTATCTGTTGTTAAATAACAAATTACCCCATTTAGGACTTTAAAACAGCACATTTATTATCTAGTTTTTGTTGGTCAGGAATCCAGGAGCCGCTTTTCAGCTGGGTGGTTCCCATGAGACTTAAAGTTGTCTCAAGTTTTTGCTGGGACTGGAGAATCTGCTTCCAAGCTCACTCGTTTTTGTCTGGAGACCTGAGTACCTTCCTTCTTGAGGCTCTCCATACACAGCCTGAGAGTTACAACATGGCAGCTGGATTCCCCAGGGCAAGTGATCCGATAGAGAGTGAGCAACACTGCACCGTCCCTTCTACCTTTTTCTGTTCTTTAGATGTAAGTCCAAACCAATGCAGTCACAGGAGTGGGATGACAGAGTCAACTGGAGGGGATTACCAAGGGCATGCAGAACACGAGACAGTTAAATCACTGGGGACAATCTTGAAGGCTGGCTACCACAATGAGTTACAGTAAAATACATACAGAGATGAAGAAGAATAAAGTGTTCAAAGATAAGGGATAATAAAATCACTAAAATTCTGTATTTTAGATTTGTAAAAGAATCCAGTAGCATTATAGCATAATTGCAAAATAGGAGTTTTATCATTATTATTCTAAGTAAATTTTCTCTGTTCTTTAGCAGACCTCTAAGAAATAGTCATGAATCCTTAGAGTTATGTTATTAGAATTCAAAAAAGAAACTCAAAAACTATAGTAGGACCCCAGTGGACCCAGATGATACACCAAGAATTAATTTCCCCTTTTTGCTTTTGTTTTAAGTTTTACAAATTCCTTCTTATCTACTGTTTATTAAAATGGGTATCTTAGGACAGGTTTTCTCTGGACAGTGCTTTAGTTGTATTTTGTAGATTCTATTATGTAGAATTCTTAAAATTTTCTAGATACTCAAACTTCTTGTTTTCAACTCTAGAGATGTATAATGTTTTAATTTCTAGATGATTAGGTTTAATTACCAGTTGTAGTTAGGTGGTGATGTTTGTACTGTAATCACTGTTGGGGTTTTTTTTGTGTTTTTTTTGGTTTTTTAAGATTTTTTTTATTAGAGCAAGAGAGAGCACAAGCTGGGGGTGGGGAGGGGCAGAGGGAGAGGGACAAGCAGACTCCTTGCCAAACAGGGATCCTGACACGGGACTCCATCTCAGGACCCCGGGATCTTGACATGAACCGAAGGCAGACGCTTAACCAACTGGGCAACCCAGGCACCCCGGTTTTTATTTGTTTTTTTGTGTTTTCTTTTTAATACATGATTTTGATCATTTTGTAATATTTTTAATTCTGTTAGGACAGATCAAATACCAGTGTTCCTTAAAATTTTTTTTAAGTAGTCTGGCACATTTATTCTTGCATGAATTTCACAATTTGTGTAATTATTTAACTATCTTATAAAGATTGAATTTAGTATTGCGTTGTCTTTATATTAGCATATTTTTATTCTAGTTTTATTTCCCTTGATGAGTATATTGCTTTCCACTTTCTTTTTCTTTTGATTGTATAAGAAAATATTTTTTAAATTGCATATGTATATCTAGATCTTTTTTTCCCCCAAATTCAGGGGCAGCTCTCTCCCAAGGAGAACAGTATTTGATGCGCCATGGTCAACATGAACAAAATTTCATCTTCTTCTTCATGAACCGTTGGTTGGGTGGTATAATCACCTGCATTTTCCCTTGTTGCATGTGACTCATGCTTAAATAACCAGGCATGTGTTTCAAGGGAATAATCAGTTTGAATAACTCAACAATGGAAATGTGAGTAATTAAAGAAACTCAGTCACGTGTAGTACAGAAAAGTCAATCTGTGAAAATTTCAACTCAGCCCATTTGTATATTGTACCTTTCTTAGTATAAAGTATGTTAAGCTTTTTATTAATGCCTTTAAAAATAAATGGTGAATTTTTTTAACCTTGACTATATGAGTATTTTTCTTTAGAATATATATATGGTGAGGTATATCTGTATAAAATTGTAAGAGGGAAAAAAAAAGTAGGAAGAGAACTCAAACTTGCTTGGATAAAGGGTTGTAGGGCAAAGATACAACCATTTGTAAAGCATGTTGTTGATAATCCAAGTTTAGGAAACAAACCTTATGTGAAGCTGAGTGTCACAGCACTGGACCGACCCAGGCAGGAACCATGGCTCTGTTCCATTCCTTAGAAGTCATATTGTCATTCTCTCCACACTTTATCTGCCGCCTATCTCTCTTTTCTGGCCTCCAGATTTTCCTCGTGCACACTGCTGAACATGGCTGCCCATGCTTTAGTGCTTTCATCACTGCCTTGCAGTTCCGTCTACCATCCATTTGACTGTATCTCTGTCGGTTCAAATTCTCAGGAGAGGTAGAGAATCCTGTTGCTTCAACTGAGTCTAAGGATGGGTATCCATGCATCTGGGATTCTCCCTAGTCTTTTTAGCTGGGGGAGAAGAGGTTAATAGAAAAAGTTCTATTTCTTTCAGAAGTTTCGCCTGAACAAATTAAATGTACCTAACATATTGTAGCGGCCCAATACATGTTTGTTGAATAAATAAAATGAATATTCAATTCCTGGTAAGTAAACTTCACAGAATGAGATGTTATAAGGCTTAAGCTTTCTTGTACAGGTGAGTAGATTTTTATTTTTCTTGACAGCCAGTATTTTAAACATTTGGCGTCTTTTCATTGCCTAAGTGAGTGTGCCAGGTTAAATTTAGTTATGAAGATAGCTTATTTGCTTTTGATGACATTTTTGGAAACCCTCTTTTAATACCTAACAGTTGGAAGGTAGCTGTAGGTTCAGGCAAGTCATTCATTTCAGCAGTTACTTAGTTTTGTTTATGTGCTGGGTACTCTTCTACCTGCTTGGAGATTTAGCAGTAAACAAAACAGATCAGGGCGCCTGGGTGGCTCAGTTGGTTGAGCAACTGCCTTCGGCTCAGGTCATGATCCTGGAGTCCCGGGATCAAGTCCCGCATCGGGCTCCCTGCTCAGTGGGGAGTCTGCTTCTCCCTCTGACCCTCTTCCCTCTCGTGCTCTCTCTCTCTCATTCTCTCTCTCTCTCTCTCAAATAAATAAATAAAATCTTAAAAAAAAAAAAAAAACAGATCAAAGGTCTTGCTTACAGTGGTGGGAACCACTGGCAAACAAGTGAAGTGTGTAAGGTGCCAGAGAGTAATGCATGCCGTAGACAGAGATGAAGCAGGGAAAGGGGTTGGACAGAGTGCAACTGGAGTGTGGATGCTTTTTTTAAAAAGAATGGTCAAGAGGGCACCTGGCTAGCTCAGGCTGCAGAGCATGTGACTCTGATGTTGGGAAAGTATGCGACTCTTGATCTCGGGTTTGTAAATTCAAGCCCTGTGTTGTAGAGATTATTTAAAAATTAAAATTTTTTTGAAGAATGGTCAGGGAAGCTGAGGTGACATTTGAGCAGAGATGCGAAGGAAATGAGAGCCATTCATATATGTGGAGAAAGAACCTCCCTGGCAAAGGAAATGATAAGTACAAAGGCCCTAGGAGTGAGTTTGGCATGTTCAGGGAATGGCAAAGAAACCAGTGTGGCTGGAATGGAAGTGAACAAGGAGGAGAGATTACAGAGATGGAGGTAAGAGAGGTAGCCAAGGGTCAGGTGACCTGTAGGCCACTGTAAGGTCTTCTGCATTTATTTTCATCTGAGATTCACTGGAAGGTTTTGAACCAAAGGTATAGCATGATCTGATTTATGAAGTGTCTTATGACTGCCGTGTTTGTGTTGAAAATACACCATAAGGTTCAAGGGAGGCAGCAGACTGACTGGTTAGGACCAGGGGTTGGTAGTCGTTGGATCCGAATGTATTTTTTAAATAGAGCTCAGCCCTTGCCAATAGACTGATTACATGTGCAGTATGAAAGAGAAATCAAGGCTGACTCCCTAGGTTTGGGGCTTCAGCAAGTAGAAGAACAAAGGTGGAATTTGCTGACGTGGAGAAATTGGCATAAAGAGTACTTGCGGGAAAGGAAGGATAGGAGTTGGGTTCAGACAGGTGAAATCAGAGATGAAACTCTTAACTCATTAAGAGGAGTTAGATACGAGTCCAGAGTTCAGAGGAGAGATCTGGGCTAGAGATGAAAAGGTAGAAGTTCGCATAGACTTGGAATTTCAAGCTGTTCAGCAGAACCAGATCTCCAAGCAAGTGCACTTACATAGAGATGTTGAGAACTCTGGAGTACCCCCGGTGTTTAGAGGTCAGATACGAGGAAAAGCAGTAAAGGAGACTGAGGGAACTCTCCAGAAGCGGTGCCCTGGAAGCCAAATGGAGCGTTCCAGGAGGGAGTGACGGGCCACACCAGAGTTACTGCTGGGTCAGATGCTGTTAACAAAGTAGGATGAGGGCTGGGAAGTGTTCACTGAATTGAGCACTATAGAGATCACTGGTGACCTTCATAAGAGCTGTTTTGGTGGGATGGAGAAGAGAAAAGCCTTGTGGGAGAGAATGTAAGAAAGAACAACTGAATATTGCACCATATGAACAACTCTTTCAAGGAATTTTGCATTTCTGAATTTGTTATATATTAGTAACATATAACGAGGTTTTTTTGTGACTCTTAGTTCATTTGTGTACTTGTTTATGAGTATGTCATTTGTTTACATTAAATTTCTTACTGTGAGTCCTGGTAAAAATCTGAAAAATACGGAGTTAGAACAAGAAGATGTAGGTATTGTTTGGATAAGAGGTTGAGGATGGTAGGGGATGTTTCTTTGGATAAGAGGTTGAGGATGGTAGGGGATGTTTCTCATGTGGGCACAGTGGAAGAACTGAGGGAGTTGGAGAGGGTTGGAATAGGTGATCAGAAGGGGAGAAGTTTAGAAACAAAAGGGTGAGTGTCAGAGCAGTGAGTCTCCCCCTGCTTGCCTCTCCCCCTGCTTGTGCTCTGACAAATAAATTAAAAATAAAAAAATCTTTTTTAAAGATTTTATTTATTTATTTGACAGAGAGACACAGCGAGAGAGGGAACACAAGCAGGGGGAGTGGGAGAGGGAGAAGCAGGCTTCCCGTGGAGCAGGGAGCCCGATGCGGGGCTCGATCCCAGGACCCTGGGACCGTGACCCGAGCCAAAGGCAAACGCTTAACGACTGAGCCACCCAGGCGCCCCTAACATACCATTTTTAATGGTACATGCACATGGGAGAGAATTCAAATAGTACAAAAAATATGCAAGAATCAAACCTCCCTCCTCCTAGCCCCTGGCTGTCCTGGTCCCCTCCTTAAAAGCAACCACTACTTTGTTTCTTGTATATCATGTAAGACGTTTTTATAAACATGCATGTGCATATATCCTGTCAGTCAGTCTTTAAAAAAACCTAACTAGGTTCTTTTTGGTTTAATAGTTGTATCATTTATCAAGTTGTTGCTTCTCATGTCCAAATCCAGCCTTCAGTGCCTTCTCTGCAGTAATAGATCCGGACTCTGTAAAGACCTGTCCCCTCAGCAGACACAGTATGAAGTTCGGTCACTAAAGGGTAGTGGTGAGACAGCATTTCTTTTCCCCACAAGGGACTACTTTTCCTGCTCCCAGTGTGCTTTTTCTAGCAGCTCCCGGCCTCATGTGTTTTTTTTTTTCCTAGCACCCCCTGTTGGCAGCACGAGGCACCACCACAGGAATGGCTTCCTCTGGTACCCCCAAGGCATGTTCTCGGCAAGCTCACACCTTCTTGGGCTGCATTTCCACAGCTTCGACCGACCTCCATGGCTGTGCTCTCCCCACTGAGGTCTGAATCTTAGAAATTCTATTTTGTACTTGGTGCTGATTCAGTAAGTGTTGAATCAAAAGCCTCTGTACTGGGCGCCTGGGTGGCTCAGTTGGTTAAGCGACTGCCTTCGGCTCAGGTCATGATCCTGGAGTCCCGGGATCGAGTCCCACATCAGGCTCCCCCCTCGGCAGGGAGTCTGTTTCTCCCTCGGACCCTCTGACCCTCTTCCCTCTCATGCTCTCTATCTCTCATTCTCTCTCTCTCAAATAAATAAATAAAATCTTTAAAAAAAAAAAAAAAAGCCTCTGTACTAAGAGCTTTTTTCCTTAAAGCCTACCTCTACTTCCCACATTGGCCTATTATACCAGAATGAATATACCAAACAGATCCTACACAAGCATTAAGGAGTACCTCTTAGCCCACAAAAGATTCACCTGGACCCTGTGTTAAAGTCTTGTTTCATTTAGGTAGAAATGAAATTTGTCATTTTATATATAACTTGAATACTTCTTCCATGTTTTGGCTTTAGGACAGATCAGTGCACCTCACTCCACTCCCATGGCTGTTTTTGATCTCCCTTACCACAGTTAACCTGAAAACCAGCTGCTGATCCCAAATAATGGAGGATTAGGTGTATAATTTTGATTGAAGGGCTGATCTTTTAGTTGGGGAGGATCATTCAGGAACTGCAAAGGTACTGGCAATCTGTTTCTTAAGCTCACTGATAGACAAGCAGTGTTGATTTGTGTTTTTTTTTTAACATGCCTTATTATAAGTATCCTTTGATGTGCAATGTTTAATAATAATGTTTTGGAGAATTAGGTTTTTAGAATTGACAAAAATTCTTGATTCAGCGGTTTTCAGCTAATTCTTCTGTAGCTACATGTTATATTTCTGAATGAGTAGAGAGAATGGCAGCATCCATTTCTAGTAAATACTTAAGTGTTGCTATTGAGGAGGTCTTTCTTTCATGGCAGTAAACACGTGATGCCTTCTACATCCAGGAGGCAACCCAACAGGCTAAGTGTGATGAGGCTTGGCAGGCGCCACACACATTGACTCAAGACTTAATGGTTGTGGCCTGAGCTCTGATTCAGTCAGTGAAATGTCTGGAAATAGTCAACTCTTTCGAGTGTGGCATGTTGTCCAGTGCTTGGAAAAAACTTCTGTATCCTTCCTCTGTAATCTTGTGACTGACTGAAGATTTAAGTTCTCAAGTTTCTGGAAATGTCCACCAGTTGCTACCTTGGCTATAAAAGCTGAGTGTTTGCAAAAATAGAATCATAAGGACTTTATTTCAATAGTGGTAGATGAGGTTATTTGCACCAACCTGCTCCCACAACTACCACCACCACTCAAAGTAGAAAATGCCCAGTATTATCTCCTTAAAAATCCCAAACCACTAACAATAAAGAACTACCTGGCCAAAACCCAAGCAAAAAGCAGAAACCAGAGAAGTAAAGTTAAGCCCTACAGCACCGAAGCTACTTTTCCATGAGAGTTTTGCCATTCTGTGCTATTTTGGGCTTCTCTTTTTCTCTCACAGGAGAACATCACTTGATCCCTAGAAAGTTTCTCCTTCTAAGGCCTTACACCTGGAAATGTTTTTAGCACTTTCTAGCATCCCCTGGTGTTCCACGCTTATCTTTTACTTTCTGTGTCCAGTTCTTGTAGTAGCCATTTCTCCAACGACTCTAGTTCCTTTTAGG